ATAACACACATATCTGCAGACAATTGGCCAGAGATTACAGTAGGTTACAGATATTATCAATAGCTTACCTGACGTAAAGGTGTGCCCTCTGCCATCACACTTGAAGATGATTTTCCACTGGGTAATAATGGCTTTGATGGGGTCATAGTCTGTGGTTTTATCAGCATTGGTTGTTGACTTGGTTGAGGTTGAACAAAAAGCTGGGTGTTTGGTATCTGGCCCTGCATTGCTCCAGAAACAAATTGGTTATTCATTAAGGCAGAATGCACAGGTTGAGGCTGTAGAGAAGCTTGGGGCTGTAGCCCAGGTTGTGACTGTAGTGATGGTTGCGGCTGTAGTGAGGTTTGAGACAGTAGCCCTGGTTGAGGCTGCAACCCAGGTTGAGTCAGAGGACCCAATTGAGGATGTAGCCCTGGAAGCACAGTGCTTTGTGGCTGAAGAGGGGGATTCACTACTGACTGAGATTGGGAAGCAGAGAAAAACTGACTTGCATTTTGAGGAACTGACTGGCTCACTGTAATCTGTGGTGAGGAAAAAAAAAATAAAAGAGAAAAAGTATTTTTTTAAATGTCTTTTGAAAGGGGACAGTCCGATACCACTAGCGACTAAAAGCATTTCATTTTAGTCCAAGTGGTAAGCTGCGACATTTTGAGATGTAAGCCAATAATCAATTGCTATGTTGACTGTTGACCAGCCAAACTGTTGGCACAATTAAAAATTACAGATGATTTGGCTGAAAGAGTTAAAATGCAATAAACAGATTTTTTGGGATATTTGTATGATAAAGCATTACTGATTTACACTCATTTTACTCCTCCAAAGTTGAAGAAGAATGGAACTGTTTGCTTGCAAACTTTTCTGTAATTACCTTAAAAGGTAAGGCCCACATTTAAAAAACTCTGCATTAGAAATGTTAAAAAATTAGGGACAATTGCTTTCTTTTCAAGGGTACTTGACAAATGAGTACAAAACTTAAGGACAACTGTCACAACATTGCATGCTAATCTTTCAGACAAGGCAGTTGGCAGCACATATTCAGTGATTAAACAAATCACTTTTGCCTCACTCCCTGTTCCATAGGTAACACATCAAACATTCGCTACCATATCCATGTGTAGAATTGAAATGAATGTTACTCAAATGTGAAGAAAGAATGGAAAATGGAATAGCCTTACTGCATGAGAATTGTGACACAAAGTAACAAAAAAAGCCTCCTTGCAGAAACCTCTGAAGGAAGAGAGAGGAATGGAGGCCAAAAAAACCAAAGGAGATTAGGTGCACCCCAAGAGTTGAAGACAGGGTTAAAAGTGAACAAGAGAGTTATAAAATCCCAAGATAATTATAAATAAAGGAGTACTTTGGGTAGCTTATGCTTCTTAGAGGAGCAAAAAGGAAAAAAAAATTCTCAACTTCACCTGATTAGACTGAGGTGTAGTATTACTCTCAAAACCAGAAAAAAATGCATCATCGGACAAATTGCTCTGGGGAGGACTTCCAGTACGGAAAGCTGCAAAATCACCAAAGTCATCACTTGCTTCTGGAGTACCTGCAGAAAAGAGTCCATCTGGTCAATATTTTCAAACTGCCATTGATACACTTGATTATCAAATGCAAAAACAATGTCATATACCACGCTTAAAACTTAAAATCAACATCTTCAAAGAAAATGTAAGAATTTGAGAGAAGCAAATAGTACAGCAGCAGTTTATAAACAGAAAATCAAATTGCTCTCACTGCAAAAGTAGCAAATGCAACCCTATTTTTAGGTATTACTACTCTAAGAAGTACTTCAAGAAAATACACAACAGAGGATCAAAATTTATTGATGTATTTCATTATGGAGGCTCTAAAAGGAAGAAAAATCCGGCCCTCACCATTGCTGAAATTCACATTTTCTGATCCTCTGATGGTTCCTCCCTCGGCAGGAGCAGAAGCAAAGTCTGCAAAAAAACTATCATCATTTGATGATGGCACAACCGAGGCGGGAGGAGCCTGGAAGGGTTGTGCTGTAAGCGCTGTGCCAGAAGGCCCAGAGAATAAGTCTACCAAGTCTGCACGACTGGAAGACACTGTAGACTGAGCTGCACTTTGGACTGGTTTTTCAGATTTGTTCTTTGTTATATCTAGTTTTCCAAAATTTGCTGCGGCCCCAAGATCAATAGTCCTTGAAGGTTTAGACTGTAGCTTTGGGGTTGGATTTTGGGAAGAATCTGGACTGCTTGTGCTGTTTTTGTCTTTTTCTTCCTCTGCTTCCTCTGCTTCCTCTTCCTCACTGTGGAAAAGGGTACACAAGGGTAAATTTTAGACAGTTTTTCTAATAAGAAAAAGAAAAAAAAAAAACCTGCTTCAAAATGGAGGCTGAAAATTAATACCATAACAAAAATAACTTGGATTGTACTTGGCTCCAAAATGCAATCTTCGAGTGTTATTTTAATGGCGAAAATGCTATTCTACAGAAAGATCACTTCATGGCCACAGGTACTTGCTTTACCTCCAGTCACATAAACATAAGTAATAAATATAAAAATTCAAGATCCATTACCAAAACAAAAAGTTACAACATACTTGTTAGGCCATGTACTCTCTTGGTGTGAGGATTTTAATACCCCATGAAAAAGGTTCTTTAAAATCCAGTTAAAATGCAGTATAGATTTAATAAAACATTTTGTTGAACCTTTCCTTGTATCACACAGAACTATCCACATTACAAACACCTGCTTCACCCTTTACGATAAAGGAGTCATTTCATATTTCAGGCTTGCTCGTGCAATTTCTGTCATAATCCCTTTAAAAACAGTGAGTGGATCTCCTCCTAAACTGTTTTCTGGCCTGCAACTTTGATTACTTGCCAGCCTGTGGGCCAGTTTCTCTCCTTCAGTTAAGTATGTTGCTTTTGTCAAATGGGACAAGCAAACTATAATTCAAACATACCTCTAACACCTCTTTCTTATTAAGCAACAAACATGCATAAAATTTGTCATCTTACCTGTCTTTGTCTTTGTACTCTCCATATGACCCAGCTCTTTCCCTCCAGTCTCTGATTCTACTTTTGCGTGTTGTTCTTCCGTTAAATTCATCAAATTGGTCTGTGCCCCGAGGTTCAGAATCATAACGATCACCTGTGATATGACAAACAAATCATCAATCCTTCCACTCTCAAGTTCTCATACAGGTAACTCGCCCTTCTGCCTGCTACACAATTCTTACAATGTTAGTTTGGATAACTTTGACATTTTTCTCTGTTCTCATCACTTAGCTGAGTTATAATGTGTTGGTATCTGTTTTGGTCACTCTCGGGATTTTTAAGGGTTAACAAGAAACTAACAAACCCACAACAATAGCCGCTAATTCATTCAGAGACATTCATTTCACAAAAGAAGGAATTACCAGAAACAAGAGTAAAATACCCCATAGCAGCTCTAATAAGAAATTCCTTTGAGGGAGGTGATTCAAATGTTCTCTTGATGTTCTTAGTCACCTACTTTCAACCTGATTTTTTACACATTTTACATCAGTTAATGCAAATTTAAAAACACAAGGCAGATTTTACTTCATGCAGTTTATTATACTGGACTTGTGCCTGTCACATGTCACAAGCTATTTTTACCAAAGTTGATTCTGAAAGATCAACTCTTAACCCATTGACACTTACGTGTAACACGTGCTGACGAAAAGTCAAAATTTTGGAGAAACCAAGAAGGCAAACACAATGCGCAGTAAATTTTTAAAAATCAGCTTTTCCAAAAAACAAGCTCCAGTGAAAGAGGACTAATTAAAGAACTTATTTCCAGCGAAAAAAGCGATACGTGCATATTACGCTTTAACTAAAAAATCAAGATGAAAGATAAAAATCACTAAATATTTCCACATGTGTGAAAATGGGCATGTGGATCATATTTCAAAAGGGAATATGCAAATTTGTCCGTGAGTGAAGAGATCTCAAGTTCCACGGAATCTATCAATAGGAAGCAAGACTAAAATGGCCAAAAAATATCTTGGGATGTCAGATTTATTCAAAACAGTTTTTGATTTGCTGTTATAAGCAAAAAACGTACGAATTTCTTATGTGTACAAAGCCCACGCGGTAAAACTCATCATGCTTAGATCATTGTTTACCTGCCTTCATGGCCAGAAATTGCACAGCGTTATGTTGAAAATTCTGAAAAAACTTCGAATTAACACAAAATCTTCTAAATTAAACAATACTTTTTGAACACATTGTTACTCCAACATAATATTTACTGGGCCATCAAATCGTCAAATTGTCGCTAGGCCCTGCTTGAAGTCTGAAAGTTCGCTTTTCACTTTACGTCCATAATTCGCATCGCCTTAGAGAATCGTAGTGTCCTTGATTAGAGAGCTTATTCTGTCACCTTTAAGACCTTGATATCCATTATTTTCCGAGCAGAGTATTCTATAGTATTGCTACTTTACATTCTGAGTTCCACAAGGTCTAACTTGATTGCAAATGAACAAAAACCTCTGACCTGAAAATTTTCAGGGTTGGCCGCGTGGACACCATTATTTTCAAATTTGATCATTTAGTGAGGACGCATAGAATAATGCCCCTCTAGAACCCCCTAAAGCCATCAAAATATATGTGCAAACGATGGATTCCTATTGGTTTATTGATCTCCAAACCAGAAAGGAAGTTTGGGGACAAAACTCTGCTTACTAGGGGAGGTAGCGGAAAAAGCGTTCTCGCGCGAGCCAATCATGCAGTTCGGATGGTTACAGGCGGTCCAGGTATCAATGTGTTAATTAAAAAGTTCTTCCTTGTTCTTTCAATTCTTCAAACCAAAAACACAGTGCTGTCAACAAATTTGAAAGTAGAGTGAAAATATAAGGTGGCCAAGTTATTGTAGACAAGTTATTGTAGAAAATATAAGGTGGCCAAGTCATTGTAGACACTAGGTTGTTTTGTAAGATTACATACAGGAGAAGGAACTTGAAAGATCTAATGTGCCTGGGGCTCAAAAAGTTTGCACAAAACTTTGTGTAAATTCTGAATGTTAAATTACTTCAAACAGCTAACCTTGTAACTGCAAAATTTTAATTGTACACTTATAATTCAGAACTGAAAATCATAGAATTTTCCACCAGCATTCATGGAATAACAAGGTGAAAGTAGCCAGCTAAAGATGGCAGGTTTAGCAGCAGTTTCAGCCAGCTACCACCCCTTATAGACAGCTTTGCAAAAGATGTTAACCTACACAAATCATATACCCCATACAATTTAATATAATCATTTGTTTTGTTTATGTATGGAGGCAGTGACTCAGTGAATAGAAATCTTAATTTACTTACTATATGATCTTGTATAGTCATCATTAGAAACTCCTTTGTACTTGTCACGATTTTTCTTGGCCCTCTTCCGTTCTTGCTTCAATCTTTCGTCATCTTGCACTAACTCAACAAGGTCTTTTACTTTGTGTCGAACTAAATTAATAATAAATGAAACAGTTCATTGATGTCCTTCCTACAATTTCCTATTAAGCATGGTAGAATATATTCAGGCAAAGGTTAGACTAAAGTCAGTGCTGATGATTAAAAACACATTTACTACTTTTTATGATTACCACATTTTTTTAATCCCCTTGCTGGTTTCTACTGAAGAGAGTTACATTATAACAAAAATGGAAGAGGGTGGCAAAGGGTGTAAAGATGCTGCATGATTTAATAGTGCCAAAATTAATGTATAGTATGTTAAGTTTACAGAAAGGTGTGTGTTATTCAGGAATTTATGAACCAATGCAAGGCATAAATTATTAATAGTGCCAAAATTAATGTATAGTAGGTTAAGTTTACAGAAAGGTGTGTGTTATTCAGGAATTTATGAACCAATGCAAGGCATAAATTACCTCCTGAAATAAAAGTGATCAAAGAATCTTTTCTTTCATTTTGGGAAAACCTCAAGATTTCCCTGAAATCTCTCAAACAAGAAGAGAGATTTAAAATTTTCCCTTATAAATTTGTGATGCAGGAAATATCATTTAAAAATATGTGATACTTAGTTTTAATGAAAATGTGTGTGTGAAACAGAACCAGGACTTGTTACTCTCAAAGTATACTACCAGTAGCAAAGATGAAATCTGTATAGGACATAAAAGAAACCATTTACCACATAAAAGAAACTTAAATTTCTATTGCCTGGATAAAGTCAAACCATAATCCATCTTTTAATAAAGTTTTCACAGTTAATGAAGTGCTTTCAACAATAGCTGCATCCTCTAAGGAAATGTGGGTTTCCTAAGAAAATCAAGACTTCTTATAGCGGAAAAGAAAGCTTTGCATACAACAATTGATAAGACAGAAGACCTTAAAAAGGGAACAATAGATACCAGTTGAAAAATCTAAGATCACAAGGTACCACTGCTATCAAACAATCAAAAAGTATAAGTTAATAGCAGACCTTGCGACAGTGTTGCGACTGGCAGTATGTCAGTCAAAACATTCTGGTAACAAGCAGATATTTGACAGTAGTGTAAAATCTAGGGCAATACATTTCGCCCAAAACGCCAAAAATAAAGCACTGGGCCAACTACATATTCACTTTAAAATTTCTACCTTCCTTAATTAATTGACAATCAAATGTGAATCGACTGTTAGAGTTGTTGGATATTTGAACACTTATCGATTACCAATACACACACATTAATACCTAACATTATTAGTAATATTACTTGATTCGAAAGAAATCGTAAGCGGTTTCATGATAATATTTCACGTACTGTTAATTCCTTGATCTCTCCCAAATTCGTCGGTGTGATTGAAGTTTTCTAGCTGTCTTAAATCGTAAATGTGGTCTCTCGTATTGGTTACCACTCGCTCAGATCCGTTCTTCACCAGATACGTAAGAAGCAGCAAAGCCTGTTAAAACAGTGCCAGAAATTCCTTTATAGTGAACCAAGTAAACAAACCAATTCAAATGCAAAACATGATTAACATGGTCAAACCTTGTAAATTCTCCGCCAGTTCTTCTTGTTTTCGTGTAACATTCTTTTCCATAACATGGACATGACCTCTGGAAAGTGTTCGTACGTAAAAGTGTACCTTGCAATCTCCGCCATTACAGTTCCGTGAGGACCCCAACTATCGTCATTTGTGGCTTCCCTTACTTTGGCTTCAATTTCAGTGTAATTCATAACTACATTCGTGCTGTATAAAAAATAAAAATCCATTACCTTGACTATCTTCTTCAAATATGGTCACTGATATATAGTATCTACATATTACGCCGATAAACCATCAGGCAAAAACTTACACTTTGTCCTGTAATTCGCGTATTTTCCACATTTTGGTTAAGAGTATTTTATTGGCGACTCGAAAATAAGAAATCAAGTCATTTATCTAACAATGAAGCGACGATGGAGACGGATTGAAATAAATCCCTACGCCGCAACAAAAATGGCGTCTTCGGCATCAAATCGTCTTGATGATGACGTCAAATGCGTTCCCAAAGTTATACCGCTGACCGTGGGATAAGTGGGGAAGAAGGACTTTTTGTGTCTTTTACACCAGCCGATTATATATTCTGTTCCAATTTTTTAATTCATCTTCTGTTTTATTTCAGTTTATTTCATTTTCAGAAGCATTTTCAGAGGCATTTTTTCAGTTACCTCATACCGTTAGACTGTTTCAAAAAAAAAAAAAACATCAAAAGAAAAGATTTTTCAAAATTAATTACAGAGCCCAAAGTGCATATGTAGGTTGACAGTACAATGAGTCAGCTGATCAACTTGAGACTTTCACGATCAAAGAATTAAAAAACATATTTCCAAGCCTCTCCAATACCAGTGAGGCTTCAGTTGAAAGATGTGAAAGGATACATGGGAAAAATTTGTAAATTATAATAAAGGCTGACTAGATAATTCGTAATACCCAAGTAATCTTCTGCACACTTTTTCAATGGGTGCAAAGTATTTTTGTTATATTTTACTATCAATGTAGCCCAAGACAATGAGTTAAGCACTTAAAAATAAGTAGTTGGGTCTTGGGAGATGGCCTGTCAGCCATTTAGAAAATACAGAGGGTATAAGGGAGACAAATATACCTCTTTTCCAAGTTTGGATGTGTTCATGGCCAGCCAGAACACTTGATAATTCTATTTGTGCTTCTAGTGCTACTACTCCTAGAAGTGTAAATGAGTATCTAACAGTGGTGGATTCTAGGGGAAGGGTCCTTATTGTGGGGAAGAAAAGGCAGCAGGGAGTACATACATACACAAAACTGCCCCCACCCCCCATCCCACCTTAGCTCAAGGTTTGGATTAGCCACTGTCTGAAAACTATGAGAAAAAAGTCTGACAAGTCACTGGATCAGGCTATCTGCAACAAACTGGCATTCTCCTAGTTGCTTCTTCCATATGCTTTTTAAGATAAGATCTGCCTGCGCTATTCTGTGCTACTTGGCTCAAGCCTGAGGGACAGGTGTCCATTTCTGGCCACATTTTCAGACTAGTGGAGGCAAGCACAAGGTGAGGCTATCAAAGGACCAATGCAATCAAAGGACCAATACAATCAAAGGACCACTGCAATCAAAGGACCAATACAATCAAAGGACCACATGCAAGTGGAGAAGCATGAAAAAATGACACATGCATCATCTTTTTCAGGCCCATATTTCCTAACACTCCCTTTCATGTTGGCTAATGCTAACCTGGCTGATAAAGCTTTAATCAACTTGCTTTTAGACCCCAGCCTCTTTTGCTGCATGACTGAACCCTTTCACTCCCAGATCTCAGTAGTAATTATCCTTACTTTCTCTCATACAATTTGGTATTGGATCAACAAATCATCCCCTGATTGATATTTTTCTGTATTCTCAACAAGTGTCTGCCTGATATCATATTGATGTTGTGGGGAGAAATTCTGTCTTGGTCCCTTGTGGGAATTGAAGGGTTTAGAGGTCAAAAGAAAAGCCAATCAACAAGATTGAGTCACCTAATTCTGGAAAACTATACGTTGTTTTGCAACTAAAAAAAAATTAAACAAGGCAACAGTGTAATCCTCGTCAAGCAAAAAACTTCAAATTGTAATTATATTCATACTTTTGATATTTCACAAAATTTCTTTTAAAGACATAACAAAACATTTTGAATTTTATAATATAAAGTAAGCTTTACATCTCTTTGCTTGACACCTGCATGCTGTCTGTGTTTTGGCAGAAATTATAGAGAACAAACACTGTTTATTCAGATTACTTTAAATCACAGAGACATTTTCATAACTGTACAATATCCAGAACAGGATCAATTATACCCGGTACCTCTTTCAATAACAGGTTTCTCTAGGCATTCTCTTAAATATTGCAAAAGAAACTCAATATTTGACCTCTGCCAGGTGGGCTGTGGTGGATGTTGGTAGTTTTTCCTGGATTAGTAACAAAATTATACCATTTCATAAACATCTTGATTAGTAATGGTAATGGACTGAGTGAAGTCCAATTCGGTTTGTGATTGTACAAGTGATTAACAAAACCAGACAGTCAAGAAGGGGAAGTCCAATTTGTTAATAAAATTATGCCTGCAGTCAACTGTCCTATGCACTGTCCAATTACAAGCATGAGGCATAGACTATTAGTGCTCAAATCTGCCGGGCTGGTGATAACCAATCATGTTCAAGAATTTTGTTAAACCTTAAATTGACCCTTTAAATCCCAACATTTTGTCGTCTGTTCTCCCCACAAGCTGCTACATACTTCCCTACTGATCAGTTAAGAAAATTCGGTGTTAGATCAAGGAGACAACTTATACCTGATAAGTTTGAGTATTCTCATTACCTGCTTTTATTAGGTATGGATATTAAAAAGAGAACTTATTTGCTAATCACTTCTGAGAGTTGAAGGGTGAATCAGGCAAAATGTTTACGATTTTTCCATAAAATGACAACATTTTCCATAAACTCCGTTTGTTGATGAGCTGTCATATTTTCCCTGTGACCATTGCTCAAATAAAGCTTGTGTGTATTGAACAAGGACCTTTTCCATCAAGCCTGCTCCACGTGGAAACAGGCCCTCTGTGAATCCCACATGTCCACCATGTTTTGTCAACACCATTGCAACATTAGGGCACCTGGAGAGTAATTCAAATGGAATTGACTCTCCAGGAGCAAATGGGTCATCAGCAGCATTCAAACACAAAAGTGGTACATTAATCTTGTACAATGGTTTAGTATGTAGTGTTGCTGCAGAGTAATACTCATTACAATCTTTAAACCCAGACATTGGTGCAATCAATCTATCATCAAATTCTCTTACAGTGCTTGAATTCAACCCAGAATTGATATCATAAGGCAGCTTGAGCGTCATTTCTTGAAATTGATCTGAAGACAAGTGTTCTTTTAAAACATTTTGCAATAATTTAGTCAAATGGCGATTGAATAAAAGACGATTCAAAGGTTGCTCCAGAGAATTGGAGGACTTGAACAAATCCCATGGAGTGGAGATTATAGCGGCTCCAAGAATGTCATCTGTGATATCACTTTTTACTTCTCCCATTTTGCATAAAAAGTTCGTAAGGATAATACCACCAAGAGATATTCCTGCAACCACTGCACAACGGCGAGGCTGTTTACTTTTCAGGTGACTAATAACAAATTCCAGGTCTTCTGTGTCTGCTGCACAACATACCCGCGGCGTTTTCAACTGTAGGCCACCTAAACCCCTGTTATTAAGCACAACAACAGTGCAGTCAAGTTTCTCGGTGACGTGTAGGACAAATTGAAGAACGTAACTGTGTTGGCTTGTACCAGTCAAACCGGGTAATATAAGTACAGTGAGGGGATTGCTGGGGTTTTTAGTATTGCACCAGTCCAGGGCAATCTCTCCGCCATCGGGAGTACGAAGTATCTCTGTCTCGTAAATCACTTCAGGGCATGATTTGAAGACACCGCCTACAACAGTTTGCGCCCTGCCCCCATAACACCAGATTGTTGGCCAATACAACTCATTGGCAAATGGGCAACGTTGCTTGATTAAGCGGTAGATAAACGATTGTGGCTTAGAAATTATCTTTGGTTTTCTTACGACAAATGTTAGATAATAGATTATGTAAACAGAAACTGCGCTTATCGCCGAAAAATAAAGAGGTGTTGAAATTTCCATGATTACGGGACAGCCTTGACTGCTTATAACCGTGTTTGCCTGGGACGAGACCTTGGCAACCAAGCTTACTGAGCTGGATTGCAAGAATGGCGACCGGTTTAACTGTGCGAACGGCCTCGAATTTATTACAAGTAAGGGTACATTATCGCTTTTTCACTCCAAACTTCATCTTGAGGGTGTGTAGAAAATGTTCTGCTACAACAGAAGATGTGAAAAATGATAATATGCCTGTAAACACGGCGCCAAAAATGCAAGAGGACGAGGAAAAGGTGAGAAGAAGAGACGAAGGTAAAAAGCTACACGCTTTGTATCACATGGAAGTGGACAAAATTGCCGCGAAATTCCTTTTGAAACGGAAAGAGGAAGAGATGAATCTAAACCAAGAAATGCTTAAGAAGAAGGAGCTGCGAAAGCTTGAGGAGGAAATGCATGACCGGATTATCGAAAGTGTCCATCTTGAGAACGAACGAGTTAAACAACTGAGGTAGGTATTTTTGGTTTCGACCTTTGTTCAGAGTTCTACCGCCTTGGTAAAACCAAAAACGCGGCCATCACGCAAGATGCAATTGAGAAAATTATGGACTCTTAAATGAATGTAAGAGTTGAAACTTTACATAAAAACTGACATGATTTGGAGATCTGATAAAAAGTTTGGGAGACAATTCTTAAAGTTTGCACAACTGGTGTCAAGAAGGTATGTTTAGGTAATTCTCTCTCCTATTGTTGTGACTTTGGCAATGGTGAGCTCATGGCAAATCTTACATTCCAATCACTGAAAGCTCTTTGTTCTAATTCGTTACTGACAAATGAAAGGGTTTACTCTTTACACCCTTACATTAGTATGCATAATTATTCTCCATACTGTTCTCTATACATTTCCTAAGGTGCTGGCGAGGAGAATTTGTCTTGAACTCAAGAGCTTCTTTAGTTGCTAATCATTTACTTTTTTTCTCATGACCTAAGGGTGATATTGTAAGGAGAAAATTAATTAGATGCTGGTCACTGTCAGGGATAAAAGGGTTAAGGTGCCTCAGTTGAACTATCTGGTCTCTGCTGGCACTAACACTGAAGGGGTTGGTATGTATGTATATATGTTGTAGAGTTTTAAAAGTGATAGTTCCTGTTGGTTAGTTGATTGTCTTTTTGGTACAATTGTTCTGGAACAAGCTTTAGAGGCACTCTGGTGATTTTTAGTTCTCCACTGTAGCTGCGTCTATAAATTTCCTTCTAAATTAGTTACAAGAATTTTGCTTGAGATCAAGATGACAACTTGTACCTGATAAGTTAAAGTATTCTCATTACCTGTTGGCTGGATAATGTCCGATACTATAGACTGAATGCAAATATGGCGTCCAATTTGAGTTGCCATTGTTCTGGACTCACTAGCCTCTCACACATGTAATAATCCTTTTGTGTTTCCACATGAAGACGAGGCTAGTGAATCCAGGACAATGGCAATTCAAATTGGATGCCATATTTGCATTCGGTGTATAGGGAGAAGTTGCATGTTAATCACTGCTGGAAGGTAAATGGTTAATGTTTGATTGTTTTTCTTTTCTTTATTGCAGAGAGAAAAGACTTGAAAATAAAAAGCTAAAGGATGAAGAACATAAGAAAGAAAAGGAACGTTTAAGGAGAGAATGGGAGGCAAAACAGAGGCAGGAAAGAGTTGAATTGGTGAAAAAACTGATTGTAAGTTCCTGCTAGTTGTGTTACAAGTAAAAGTTAGGGACTGATGTAAAGAATTCTACATCACATAAATGCAAATGCCTACTGTAGCATGAATGTGAAATTCAACTTCTACCTGAGAATTGACTCTTTAACCCCCATGATTGACCAAAACAGAGTTTCTCTTACAATTATATCAATAAAATGTCAAGCAGACAAATGTAAAGAAAAAGATCAATTAAGGAATTAGCAGTTGATCCAAAACAAAATTCTCCAAAGGGACACTGTAGGAATTAATGGCAGATGGCAAGGCTCGACACTAATGATAGCCCACTTGTCACAGACTAGTAGAAATTTAGTTTTGGCAAGTGGTTTTCGATTTCCACTAGCCAGTTTGGCTAGTAAACAATCTGAAATTGTTGTAACATCTAAGATGTAACCAGCCACTTGGCTAGTACCAGTAAGTTGAAAAGTTAGTGTTGAGCCCTGGATGGGGAAGGAGAATTAATAAGATCTTGGGAATGAAAGGCAGGGCTTGACACAACTGTAGCCCACTAGCCACAGACTGATAGAAATGCAGTTTTGGCTAGTGGTTTTTTATTTCCACCAACCAGGTTGGCTAGTAAACAAAATGAAATTGTTGTAACATCTAAGATGTCAGTAGTCACTTGGATAGTAAGTTGAAGAGTTAGTGTCAAGCCCTGGAAAAAGTTAACCTTGTTAAGCTTACAAATGTTAAGTGTGAAATAACATAATTTCATTCCACTGTTAATAAGTTAATTTTAATTTGTAATTTTGCCCAAAAAGTTATGTGTTCAGGTGGGTGACCTACATTAACACAGTGGTAACAACAGTAACTCTAACAAGCAAAGAACACCAAAAAGAGTTGGTCCTCTTGCTGCATATATTGAAATTTGGACATGCTGTAGCTATACTCTCAGGTATATTTTGGAGCTAAAAAATCATGGGTTCCCCATAAGTAAGTAAGGAGCACAACAGGATTTGCACTCAAAACCATGAGATTAAGCCTTCAGCATCCAGAGGTGATTAACACATAACTTCTCCCAGCAATATCCAATTGCCATTATCCAGCAAATAAGTGCTAAGGATACTCACACTTATCAGGTTGAAGGTGTTATCTTGATCCAACGCCAAATTCTTGAAGTTTTACATGATTAAAACAAACTTCTGCTTCTTTTTATTCTGCTCGCATCCAAATAAACCGTTACAACAATAGAGAGAGAAAACAAAATACACTGGTTGATATGCTAATTCCTAAAAAAAAGAAAGTTTGAATAACAAAAGGAAAAGAAACACCTGGACCAATCATAGGTCAAATTAACTACTCCTGTGAAATATTTCATGTTTGTGTCAGGAGGAAAGCAAAAACTGGGTGACTGAAGAAAATTTGGACGAGAAGATAGCTTTTTGCCTGGAAAATGAAACAAACTACAACTTTGCTTTGACACCATCTGGGGAAAAGATCTCTTCAACTCTTCCTCCAGGTTGTATAGACACTGTAGAAAATGCTCCCGGTCCTGCCGCTAATTACCCAACAGGACTACCTTCAAACCCTGAAAAACAAGAGCTGGATGTCCGTTAAGACAACAAACTCAAAGCAGTACAATACGCCATACAAGTACACAATAATGGGGAGTGTAAAACAAACTTTACAGGAGCGATGCCCCTGATTAAGTCAGGCATCCTGAGCCATCATAAGCAACTGAAGGAAAACTTACACCTTCCAGTCAAAAAAATCTAGGAATGCTACTTCAATACTCACTGGGATCATCATTCAGTGAATTGCATTGTAAGTGAAGTTTTGACTAGAAACACCAAATATCTGTTGTTTGTTCACAACAACAAACATTGATGACTATCTTCAGCTTTTGGCTAACTTCAATTGCCTACCGGCCTATAGTAATATCAAGCATAAGCACTTATTTTTTGCACAGCACACTTTTGACAGTCAATGGAGTTTTGAACCGAAACATTAGGAAATTGAGAGGAACATTTATACCAAACAATTTCCACAAGCTGGTCAGGCTAGATTTCAACTGGCTTAAGTGACTTCTGCTGGTGTAAAGCATGTCATGTGTCATGTTCTTGGGATAAGTCTATTCCATCCCATTTTAGTTCAGGGTAGAGCTTTAGACATCAAGCTTTTTGAGATGCTTTACTCTCTCTTGAGATTGAAACCATAGAAACCCATGTCCCAGGTCAGACTCTTTGCATTGGTTTGTTCAGGAAAGGAAACCATTCTAGCATTAATCCTTAGAAGGGATTTAAAAAAAAAACCTTTTCTTACAATTCAATTGGAAGCAATTCTTTAGTAGTGTACTGGTGTTGAGAATAAAAACTTATCAGATAGGTGTTTTCTTTATAAATAATATAACACTACATTCTCTCAACCCTAGCATATAATTTCTTCATACAGAAATGTTGCATAATCATTAAGATCATGCAAATAGAGGAAATTATTTCCAACATAAGAAGATTTGATTGTTAAATAAATTCTTCACATCAGTACGAAAGGAAATATCTAAAGAAAAGTTAGAGAATGTGGATACTGATGTTGCGGTTTGGAGGGCTGAGGGTGCTGCACCTGCTTCTACACAGTACAGCTTCCCTAGAAGAATGTGTACAATTACAGGAAAACCACATTTTGAGATTCCAAACAGAAGCCTCATCTCCCACAAAATTTAATGTCTTCAAATGCACTGTAAAGTCCTTTACGGATGCCACTAGTTTATTTAGTTTGGTGACCTAGCTGTCTTTCTGTAAAATAACAAAGGTTCACTCCTCCTTTTTTTCCCATCTCCTAGTGGTGATTGAACAATGACATGCATTAGATTAAATGCAATGACCAAAGGTACTTGTAAAGGAAAAGTCTGGACACAGGCAGAATGGCCTACGGGGTGCCAGAGCTCTATGTACCTTGAAGCCACAAGGAGTAGTGTTACGGTACTGCCTAGGATGTAATGCTTGTCTTTCCAGGTTAACCCAGCATTTTTGTTAGGCTTCCCTGATAGTTCATTGAAGTACTGAGGACTAGCCCAAGAGCTCTACACTGAATTCACTAGTTCATTGACCCCTGCCTGTCCACCTGGAGTCCAGCTCACTAACTGTAAGGCTACTGTGCGTCCTCTCTTGTTCTTACCAGAGCTAGTGCTGCAGCTGGTTAAGAACCATTCTGGGGTGTCATATGAGAGCAGATAAGTTACTGAATAGGCAACTGGCAATGACACTGATGGGAATGTAAATGTGCCCACATTGTAGACTGTGACTTAAACCAATAAGAAAAACCATCTTTGTACAGTAGTTGATCAAACATTCAACACTCAATTTACATTCATGGTTTAAAATCTCATTTTGTCTAAAAAAAAGCAATTTGTCATCATTCCTCATTCCACAAAATGTGACATCACTATCTTGCAGCACTTTTCTTTTCTTTTCCATCAATTGAAAGGTACAAATGGTATTAATGTACACTGATTTGTTTGTTTGTTCATTCATTTTAAGCAGTAGTCCATGTATCTATACATGAGCGGTTTCTTCCCATGCTCATCCTCCATAACACCATAACTGCTCTCTTGGTGTTTTTAGTTTGTTGTTGCTGTTGTTGTTGTTGTTGTTGACATTCCTGGTAGATCTGAGTCCTGCACAACAGGACCTGAGAATAAAAGGTCAGCTCGACAAAATTCTCCAGTGTCAAGATTCTTGGCCATAACCTGGTCTGGATCAGCATTTGGGATGCGATGTTCAACATATATTCTCTTCAAACAACAATCCTATAAATCAGGAATTAAAAAAATATAGATATCTTGGTAAGATAAACACGATTCTTCTTACTCCAGAACTTTAACAGGGAAGAAGTGGAAAGATAAACAATTAGGTAAATGTCACTGGATTTGAATACAGGTTGAATGCATAACTGTTTTGTAACTATCATTGATAATAATAACAAATTCCCAAGGGAGGGGGGCATCTTATGGCTTAGTGCAGGGTAATAGTTTGGTGGTTGCATGCTCTGTTGAAATTTAGAAAAAAAAAGTAAAATAGAAGAAAGAAAATGAACAAAAAAGTCACTATGGTGAAATTGTAAAACTAAGACTAGATTAAAGTGAAGGTATTAATATCAGCTTGTAGTAAACAATTTTACTGAGGAATTGTCAGTCTGGTGAATTTAATTTTGGGTCATCAATTGTGATAGAAAGGAACAAAATGATCATTAATTTCTCCCTCCTTCTGAAACCTGACTACTGACTGTCGATCCTACACTTGTGACTACTTTAATGGAAAAAAAAATATCACATCAAGAATACCTTCAGATAATTGACTGCTGCTTGAGTGATCATGGAGCATCCTGAAGCATAGACTTCTTTCAGAGTTGAGCCACAGCAGTTTGCGAGAGCAAAAACAGACCGATCTGTTAGTCCTGAGACACCAGATACAACAACTTCCTCTAATGGACACATGCGTGCTAGCTCACATACACCAACATCAGAAACCTGTTCAATAAATTACATTTTACCAACTGAAGGAAATCATGATTATGAACTAGGTGGTGGCCAGACATTTTCCTAAACTTTAGGGCAGAGACAGTACCACACGATATGTGGCAGTGCCCCTTTCTGGGAAAAGTTGCAGTTTGTGACAATTCACTTCTGGTGACAAGGAGAAATTGGGTGAAAATCTATCTTTATGCAACTCACAGTATTTTGATGCTTCAATCACTCACAAAAATTCAAAGTGATTTGATAGGATTAGACAGGGATTAGTGTCAGAGAATTAGTCCATACAAAAGGGCATTTCAAGGCAGGATTAACCAAGTCTACATACCAAGCCACAGCCTTTAATACTGAGACGGGTGATTTGGTGACAATTTTCAGCGACTGCCGTCAAGAGCTGATCATCTACATCCTTCATGCCTGCAAGCCGCAGAACAAGTAGCGAAGGACAACTTGCTGCTATTTCAGTTATAACATCTACAGAAAACTACAAGAACAATCAGTTAAAAAACAGATCAGAGAAAAATAATCACAATTTTACAAGATGCATATAGCTTGCTCACATGGCTGCAATAAGTATTTGATTCTCAATAAAACTTAATGTTTTGGCAAGGTCAGCATCATTGTACCTACACTGGTGCTAACAGAATACCTTAAAGATTCCCCTTAAGACCTCATACTTCTCAAAAAGTTTTCTGACAGACATGCAAACCTGACTATTTTCTTCAATGTCCCCAGCTCTAATTTAACCCATGACTATAATTATTGTGTAATGAAACAAAGAAGCTTTTCATTTAGTATATTCTACTAGGTGATTTTATACTTCTAGGGTGAGTGTTGCAATAAAAGTCTTAATTTGCAAAGTATTGTAACTCTCGCTGTTTTTCCATTGAATATTGAGTCCTTCTGCATTTTAGGATATTCTGTCATACCGCATTTTTTTAAGGATACTCCACCATTCTACATTTTAGGATATTTCATCATTCCATGTTTTAGGATATTCCACCATTCTTCCAAATAAAGTCACCAATCTTTATTTTCTCCTAACTACTGTACAGCATTATATTACGCTTCACTTGAAACTAACCATTTTACATCCATTTGCCACAAATGCTTTGAACTCTTGCCCTCTTTTGGGACAGTGGAAAAGAGACTTCAAGCTCTTGCCTGTGATATTTGGGCAGAAAGACACTTTCAAAGATTCAATGGCTAGACACTGTTTGCTGATGGCTGAAAGTCCAGCATCTGTTAAAACAGCACAGCCGCTCAGGTCTAATGATCTCAAGCTCCGTCCTGCTGCTGAACAAATCTGCAAAATCAATAAAAAAAAAAGAAAACAAATCAAATTATCAAACAAAGCAGCCAAGACAGAAAGCTATTTTTTTCAAGGAAGTGGTGGGTGACCTACAGGTAGAGCCATTACCAGTTCACCCACAAAACCAACAGGCCCCAGTGTTGATCTTAGCCTCATGCTAAAATGGCCACCCTGCCTAAATAAAAATGACCTGCCTTGAGTAAAAAATAGTAATTGTTCAAAACAAATCAGTGCCTTTCAGATCACTTTCATGCTCTTGCAGAATGTTGGAGCAAATTTTTGTGGTTCAAAATTGTACTAGAATTGATTGAAAATATCCACCTGAAATTTAATTCTAACTTAAGAAACGACTTACACGTTTAGCATGGCTTAGCATGTTCCTGTGGGGAGCTGTCTGAGGCACTTGATTAAATTTAGTATCAGAATTAAAATAATTAAATTAAATGTACTCCCTTAGAATTGCCGAGTAACACCAGCAGTTTTTTTTTTTATAGTTCCGTACTTACTTTCTCTAAAGAATCATCATCCACAGCCTTCATCCCACACAAAGTCAATTCTTTTATATAATCCAATTTTTCCACAAGGTCAATGAGTAATTCTGAGGACATTTGTACTCCATGTAAAGTCAATTCCATCAGATTAGAGGGGAATGCATTTGCTCCCACCAATGATCTGCCATCATTCAAAATTCTATAGCAGTATCCAATGTCAAGGCTTGTCAAGTTAGGACAGCCTTGGGTAACCTGTAATAAATTAGAGCAGAGGGATCTTAATCACAGCACACACCAAAAGGGTGTAGAAGGAAGAGGACAACCAAATTAAACATATAATTGAAAAGGGCAATTTAAGGTTTGCTAAGTGGAATAAAAATTGTTAAATTTAAATTGGTTCAAAAAAAGATGTCGTACCAGCAGAAGGCTGTGAACCAAGAACAATAGCAAAGGGAGGTCCAGGGTTTAAGCCCCGGCTGGACCAATACTCGTGGTCTTAAAATAACCAAGAAGAATTTGCTACCTTTCTATAACAAGAAATGGATGGATATTCTAGTCGTCCGGATAAGGACGAATAAACCGTAGGTCCCATCTCCTGCAGGGTCAGGGGTAGAAGATGTTAATTTCCTACGCACGAGATCACTGTGTGGTGGATGTCCACCTCTGGGTGGGATGGGTGGGTGTTGG